AACCTGTCATAAGTATAAAAGCCCCCAAGTTTAATCTTGAAAACAATATTTTACTTTGCAATATATTGGGTAAAAATCCTCTTAGTTCACTATATTATTACCTATAAATTGTTACTATTATATGTTATGCCAAGCCCTTAAATATAGAAAACTATAAAAGAATGGATTTAAAAAAGAAGAAAGGAGATATCTAAAAATGTCTAAATAGACAACAAGAAAATAAAAAAGTAAACATCTCTTTTCAATAAAAAATGTTTGATTGGGATATCCTTTTTTTTCCTAATTGTATGAGGAACTTATCTATTTTTAATCTTGATTTCCTTCTTGTATATTATCTAAAGAAACTTATCACCTAGTAATAATGATAGGTTCCTAAAGTATTTAGCATATAAAATTTTGCAAATTACTTATGCCCCTTTTTGAAGAACAAAATTCATAGCTTTTCACTTTAATAGGGACAAAAATTAGAAAATGCTATAAATAAATAATTTAGATAATGGAAAACAATTATGAATAGTTTTTTTATAGTTATTAATTTAAATATTTTAATTTTTACTAATGAGTGATATTTGACTTTTGTCCTTGTCTCCCCTTTAGGGACCCATCTTTACTTAGTAGAAGTCTTTATTTCTAGAATATACTTGATTTCAATCTTTTTTGGACAGTAATTTTTTATTTACTTATAGTAGAAAAGTGACTTATGATGAATACTAAGTTCTTATGTAACCTAGTAAGAACTGGGTCATATTGTTTCAGTATGATATTTTCCAATCGTTATACCTAATTAAAGGAATTTTACTGATATACATCATTCATTATCTAAAAGACTAGATTCTTTAATAATCCTTTTATCTTATATTGATAGAAGGGTCTCAAAGGTAATGAGGATTTTCGTTGATTACAATATTCTTTAACAAACCTCAACTGTAATTAAAGGGTTGAAACTTAGTATAGACTAAAGACTATTCAGTTTTATTGCCTGACTGGGATAAAAAGGAAACTTTGATCTTGAGCTTTGCCTAACTAAGATAATAGAAAAGAAAGATCTCAGCTTGAATCAATAACAGCTTTTTTATCACCTAGAAATTTATTGATTATATCTTATTAGCTTCATTGAACTTGATTTGTAGGTTAATCCAATTGGAGGAGTGAGCAGATATGAGGCATCAATCAACTCTTTTAATTACTAATGATGTTATCAGAACATGTGAGCTGATTAGTAAAGACTTGTTTATATTCAATTATTAATGTATTTTGAGTCAACTAATCAGATGTCAGGTGATATTGCGCTATCAGAAATTCAGGATTAAACTGAAATAGGCAAAATCTTCCAAAAAATTATGAAAAACAATAGACTCTTTAAGAGGATACAAGACAGTATATGAGAAGGTGAATAATAAGCCTTCCCCTGCCAATAAAACTTCTATTTCTTGTTACTTCTAGCTCTGTAAGGTGACACCCCACTTATCAATTCTTTTATTTCCTAGAACTTTCTTATTCTTAGTAGAGGAATATGTACTTGAATCTTTTCAGACCACTAGAGACCCAAGTTTTTATTCAAAGGAGTTTATAAACAAGTAAGGGAGGATAGTAAAGATACGTGAAGATAAACTTCAAGTTGTTTTAATGAAAGTATAAAACTTCTTACTAACATCTTTTTTGTGTATAATTAGAGAATCAGTGGAAAGAGTTTTTTAACTTATTACTATTTATTTCTTTATTTTTCATAATTATATATATATCATCTTTTAGGAGAACTAGTAAAATTATATGTATATTATTTTATGTGTTTATTTATATTGAGAAAGCATATATTTAAATACTATCTTTTTCTTTATTGGTAATTGAAAGTTATTACTTCTTGTCCATATTAATAAATTTTTCATTAAATATAATAAATATTGATGAAATAACTTTCTAACATTAATATATTACATGATCAATATATTAATTTAAAATTGATAAATATAAAAAAAAAATTATATGATTTTTTTTAATTAATAAATTAGAAATTTTTTAAAAAAGATTATTAACATTAATCAATAAAAAATAAAACCTATATATGCATCCCTCTCTATATGCATGCTTTACCTTGTTCCCAAGGGAGGTGCATATATAGAAGGATTATTGTAATCTGTTTTCAAATAATAAAAAATAAAGCAATGTATTAACTAATTTACACTATTATGCATGTATAAATATATGAGTGTGCTTTGCATTTGTATTTAATTCGAAGTTTAAATTAAAGGTAAGAGGTGAAAGATAAAATTTTGATATTCGTTTGTTTTATTTATTATATATTAAATATTGGTTCGTAAAGCTTTCTTGTAACGATGACCAACATTATGTATTACACCTCACGCCAAAATCTATATCGACAGAATTTTTGCAATATTCAAATGCCTTTCGTTTATCCTTTTCAATTCTCAACCTTTAGCAGACATCAACATTAACGTCCCGCTTACGCGACATATATCAGCTGATACTTTATAATGTATAAATGGCTTATGTTTATCCTTCCCAACTCCAATTCCATTCTTATAACAGTAGCTCACATTGTACTTCCCAATTACATCCCATCTCTGTTGATCTTCGATAATATTCGAATGCCTTTTGTTCATTCTCATTAACTTCAATTCCATTCATATAACACGTCCAACTAACATCGCCCATCTCAGCTGATCCTTGATAATATTTGAACGCCTTGCGTTCATCCTTTTAACTCTGATTCTCTCATCATAATATCAACCAACTTCATACATCCCAAGTACATATAACCATCTCAACTGACTTTATATTTCGTCCTTTTCTACTCTAATTCTCTAGCTACAGTAAGTACCTATAGTATACGCCCCTCTTACATGACCCATATTAACCAACCTTTGATAATATTCGAATGCCTTATATTCATCATCCCAACTCCATAACCATGACCATTTGTATCACCTATATCAGCAGATTTTTACAATGCTCGAGTGCCCTTCGTTTTTCCTTTTTAACTACGATTCCTACATCTAATACCAGCCAACACTATACATCCGTGTACAAGACCCATCTCAGCTAATTTTGGATAATATTCGAATGCCTTTAAACTCATCATTTTAACGCCAATTCCTTGGCTAAAGATGTCGAAATTATTACGCCCCGCTTACACTACTCATTTCGGCTGATAACTGTTAATATTCGAATCCTTTAAGTTCATCTTTTTCAAATTCAATCCCATTCATATAATAATAACAGTATCATACGTTCCATATACATCAATCATCTCCATTTATTTTTTATAACAATCGAATGCCTTGTGAACATCCTTTTCGACTCCGATTCTATTATTATAATAAATGCCGGCCTTAAGTGCGCCTTTCGCATATCTCATCTCGGATGATATTTTATAGCATTCGAATGCTTTACATCCATCCTTTTTGACTGCGATCACTTTATCATAAAAAAGTCGACACCAATCATGCCATTCGCGTAATTCATTTCAAATTATCTTAGATAATGTTCGAATGCATTGCGTCCACTATTTTCAACTCCGATTCCGTTATTGCAGCAAATTCCAACATTAAATACTGATCTCACATAACCCATATCAGCTAATTTTTGATAATATTCAAATACCTTGTGCTCATCCCTTTTAACCCGATTCCTTGGAAATAGCAACTACCAACACTATACGTGTTATCCATGTCTGCTTATTTTTGATATTATTTAAGCGCATTGCGTTCATCCTTTTTAATTCCAATTCCCCTCTCATAATAATAATCGACACCATATAATACGCCCCATTCATATGACCAATCTCAGCTGATCTTCGATAATATTCATCTTTTTCAACTCCAACTCCTTCATAGGAGCAATCAACAACCAAAAACATTCAATTGAATGCTTTAAATTCATCCTTTCAATTCATCTATCGAAACAATATCAACTTACAAGAATCCTTTGAATCACGGAATTTTCTTCGTTATTTAAACACCAATTGATGCTTTGTTGTTAAATGTTGGAAAATTAAGTCAAGACACAACTTTCCATTCAAATTTTCTTCGGAATACTGGCTACATGGCTCTTTTGCGATTTCTTCGATTTCCTTTTCGTTACAAAGTTTCCATGTTTGACTTCAGAGAAAACAAAAAATCACGCAAGTTACTATGTACTGGAATTGATTCAACATTGTGTCACAAAACTGCAGTCACGCGTACGTAACACGAAATATCTTTTTTTTTACCGTCTTTTATGTTATGTTTTTCAGGAATTCGCTATTTTTTTTTTTAAGCAAGTTCTCACTAAAGTAATGAGGGCGTAGATGTTTGTGAAATTCCGACTGTAGGAACTTTTGTTTTCGTCAACTACCATTCCTCACCCGCAACATCTTTTTGCACAAAAATAAAATTATGATAAATAATTATTGTCCAATGACGTTTAGTGGCCTTTTACTCTTATTACCGTACACTTGTACACTTTAGTCTGGATTGACCTATTCATGGCCAGGTGATCTACTCGTCTTCATGCATGTGATTTTTAATAATACTAGTGATTTGGAAAACCTCACATCATAATAATTCCCTCAATATTTCGTATTTGATTTAAAAGCGATATATCCTTCTCAATTAGTCATCTTCACATGCAATTTACATGTATTACTTTTCAAATTATATTTCAAGAAAAACATTAAGTAGTTATTTCTGGTCTGGCCTTGGTAAAGTGAAATATCAAAAAAAAAAAAAAAAAAAAAAAAAAAAATGAAAATAGTGGCATCCAAACTTCTGACATATCTTGGTATCGAATTTTTCAGCGAGCAAGTTTATACAGATGATCAGGTGAATCTCCTTACAAAAATTTATACAGTATATCCAGTATATAAATAAATAAATAAAGTCCGATGATAATACTCCTGCACCAGTGGTAATTCCTCGCGCGGGACACAATCCGATCCTGGAGAACTATCACCTGTTTAATCGAATGATAAAAAATTTCCTTATAGTTGATATTTCATCGTCCTACACAAATATGTCATTTCTACGGTGTTCAATCACGGGCATGTTGATCCTAAGTTGTTTCAATCCATCAGGATTGATCTCGGCCAACGCAAATGTGGGTTTTGTCGTTTCTGGACACCTCGTCAAAATGGTTCCCCATGGATCAACGATCTAATGGGTGTTAACCAAAATTCGTGCAAGAGAACATTTTTTAAACCTTCAATGAAAAAGATTAGAGAAAGAGTTAAATACCATCGCACTGCCGAAACTTGCGCGCTTGTCATTATGCTGACCGATGTGAGCGCTGCAAGAAAAAGAAAAAGTAATATTATAATGGTATGCATAGGTTTTTACGATCATTATTGAACGACTGACAGACCTTGCAATGACATAAGATTGGGTCTCAATCGCTCTTGCACGTAATAGCACCTCTGTGATTCATATGGTTATTAAAATATCAGAAAAGTCCGCCAAAAAAAAAAAAAAAAAAATGATCTCACGCGTACCCCAATGCGCTATTCCGGTCTTGACGGTGAAGGCAGAAGGATAGGTCAACACATCTGCGTTTAACTTCCTCAACGCTAGAGACAACTCTGGGAATCTTAGGTCATAACATATCATCATCCCTATTCTTCCTATCGGGCTCTCCACCGGCTCGACAATCTTGTCTCCGCGCAAGGTGGTCGAGCTTTCGAGAAGCACCGGATTATTGTTGATGTTCACATCAAATAGATGCAGCTTGTGATAACGAGAAACGATCGATCCTGTAGAAGAGATCATGAGGTGAGTGTTGTATACGTGATTCGGCGTTGGACTCTACGCAAAGATGAGAGAGAAAATTTGAGGCATTAAAAGAATTCAATGGGCCTGCGAAATTGAAGTCTAAGGCGAATCAACAAAAGATCGATCAAGCTTACGGTCTCGTGAACGCCGATGGAAACCCAAACTCCATTCTTCTTTGCCTCTTTCCTTATTTCTTCCACAAAATTGTTACTCTCAACTGTCGACGTTAATCTCAAGGTTTCTTCGTTGTTCATGGCAATAAAATCTGACGCTTCGGGAAAGAATATTACCTAATTCCATGAGTTTACATATTAGGTGTATGCCATTGATCTTTGTTCTATAAGTTGAAAAAAGTTTATGATATCATATGACGAGATTCTTTCTACTCGCACGCACGCACCCTTGCACCCCTCCGAACAGCATTACCAATCAGTTCAGTGCAAATTTGCAAATTTTTGGTGATGACATTCGTGCCACAGAATTGAGTCACGGCCACAAGAGACATGGATTTATTTATTTTGGTCAGAAAGAAAATGAAGCAGCAAAGAATTTTTGCCGAAAATACATTAATTTTTGCATCATGATTAACTTTATACGTACACAGCACATGTGAAGGATCTGCCAACATTCCGCTACCAAACCGGTGAACCCGTGAAACACCAGATTATATTAATATTACGCCTATCAAAATTTATCACCTGTTTCCTCCTCTCTCCTTCGTCAAATTCTCAATTGGAAAACAGAATCCTCCCGCGATGTCTCTCAGTAATAAACTCTCAATCGAAGACATTGAAATTAAAGGCAAGCGTGTCTTAATTCGGTAACCTTTTCACGTCCATGGATTAGAAGAATTACTTCATTATTATTGGAGTTTGAAGTTATTGAGCGCCACTTGTTTTTCTTCCGTGATAGAGTCGACTTTAATGTCCCTTTTCAGGATGGCAAGATTTCAAATAATCAACGAATTGTAGCAGCTCTGAGAACGATTCAGTATGCGTTAGATCATGGTAATGATCATCTTTTACATTTTCTTTTCAAAAACTCGTACAAAAGTTCATTGCTGACATCTATTCGTGAACCGATATTAGACGCCAAGGTGATCACTCTTATGTCTCACCTCGGTCGTCCGGATGGAAAGAGATCTACAAAATATTCACTTGCGCCAGTCGCTACCGAGCTCGGCAGGCTGATAAATAAAGATGTATTGTTTTTAAACGATTGTGTTGGAGAGGAGGTAGAAGAAGCTGTAATGAGAGCGGACAATGGTATGCACGTAATTGGGATTCCACTTGTGACCCTTTTTAATATCTCGAACGTTTGATTACCTGCAGGAAAAGTAATTCTACTAGAAAATTTGCGATTCCATATTGAAGAAGAAGGTTCGGTGAAAGACGAGAGTGGAAATAAGGTATCTTGATCTATTGTCCTTAGAGTTATGGATTGTGTGTCGTTGTGTTAAATCTCCTTGCTATTTGTTTGCGAAATTCCGCTTTATATAACAGATTAAAGCGGATCCAGAGAAAGTCGCGGAATTCCGTCAGTCACTCACCAAACTCGGCGATGTATATGTAAATGACGCGTTTGGCACTGCACATCGAGCCCATAGTTCCATAGTTGGAATCAACCTTCCGCTTCGCGTGGCTGGCTTCTTACTAAAAAAGGAATTGGAGTATTTCGCAAAGGTTTTGGAAAATCCGGAACGTCCCTTCTTGTCTATCCTTGGGGGGTAAGTAGTTGACCGGTGCATGTGTAAACTCACTCCGTTGATTCTATATTCACGATATGCCCATCACATTTTAGCGCCAAAGTTTCTGATAAAATCAAGTTGATCGACAACCTTCTCAATAAAGTCGATTCCATGATTATTACTGGTGCGTTAACCTTTCGAGTGTTAAACCTATTTCCAATTTCGTTATTTTCAC